AAACGGCTCACTTGGGCTATCTGAAGTGTGTCCTTCATGCCACAGAACACCCTTCGGGGGCAAGGGCAGGGGTGTGACAAGGTTGCAGGGGGATCCTGAGCTGACAGAGAGGAGGGGACCTCCAGAGGAAGTGGCTTTGTGCTATGTCTTGGAGGATAAGAGCTTTCCATAGGGACAAAAAAGGTATTGCATCAAAAAGCAGCATGTGCAAAGGCCCAGAGGCGCACAGCCTTGCTTAACTTGCAGATCCCAGTTGGGTTTATTTGAGGCTGTGCTGTAAGCTCCTCGTTCACAGCCAGCACCCTCTGCTCTGTGAAGGACCTGCTACCTAAGTCATTAGGATGTTTCTGATTGCAGGTGATATTTACGTAGCTCAGATAAGACTATAAGATAAAGAAGGTGTTTCCTTATTGAGGGGGCTGAGAATTCAAGAAGAGGTGCTTCAGGCACAGCTGGATCCAGGGGCTCAAAAGCCATCTTGAACTTGGTCTCAGCCTGACCCTTTTCTGTGGAGGCTTCAGTCTCAGCAGGTTCCCTCCACCCCATGGGCCTCCTTCCACCCCTCAGTTACCAATTCCAGAAGGCACTCCGCTTTCTTAATATTTTCCCCCAAAGTCCCAGAGTTGAGTCTCACTGGACTGAGTTGGATCACCCCTTGACCAGTCCCTGCTGACAAGAAGAAGTAATACCTGATTCATCAGGGATGGTTCACAGGTCCGTCCTGGAACTGGCCTCGAGGGAATCACAAAGAAGTGGTTCCCCACAGGAAAGCCAAGGTGCTGCCTGCAGCCGAGGGGCCAGGAAAGGTGGGCAGGCAAGTGTGGCAAGGTCAGCCCACACACCCCCGTTCAGACTTTCTCCAACTCCTGGAGGCTGAGGTTTGCAGGAAGATGCCGGACATCACCCACGACACTCTGATCCTTTCTTCAGTGTAAATCTTGTCTCCCCGTCACTCTGCAAGCTCCTTCATGGGGGACCGGGGTCTTGGGTTGCTCTTGGATCCCCCTGGTCACCAGGGCCACGTGGAGCACAGTGGCAGGTACTTCATTCCTATGTGTGGATTCTGTTAGGGGAGGACGGATGTCTTTTCTAGACATCTGAAACCCCTTCCTCGAGTTGAGGACATTGGAATTTATACGATCTAAACTTAGGAGCCATTCTGCAATATTTAAGTTTCAAGATGAAAATGGCCAGGCATCAATGGACAAACACTTAGGGCAGCCTCTCCCTATTTTTAGGTCGGATACTTATAGAACGACATCTGCGTGCATGCACGCCCACTGCCCCACAACTGGAAACACACAGCCTGGTTCTGCCCAAATAAGGGTGTCGAAGAGGGCCAGCTCCCATGGAGGGTGGACCCAACAGGTGTGGACAGCACGGGAGGTCTGAATGGCAGGGATGGGCTCTCAGCGGGTCAGATTCCAACTGAGATTGGGCAGGCCACCCTGCACCTTCCGCTCGCTCTCTGGAGCAGCGCTGCTGCTGTCTTCCTCTGAAGGCTGCCCCCCCAGTACTCGGGGGGAGGGGGACGGAGGGAGCCTCCAGGCCTCAGGACTGTTCAGCTTGCAGGAGATTCCTTCCTGTTGTGAAACCACTTGCAGAGAGCAGGCTGTGCTCTGCAGGACTGAGGTGGGAGGGGCTGTAGAGAGGGGGGTGGGACACTGTTTTGCAGGGAGGGGTGGAGTGTCAGGTCTCTGTCAGCAGCATGTCCAAACGGGGCCTGAGATGGAAGGTCGACTCTAGACTCAGAGCCGGAATAGTGGCTTTGTGCCTCTTAGCAAAAGGCACCATCCTCTGCTCTGGTCAGGGGTAGCCTCAGGTGTGTGGTTTGGTGAGAGCTCCTGGGTCCGATGTGGCACACATGGGGACAATGCGGGTGGAGGCCCTGGAACCTCAGCGGGCCCATCTAGAGGCAATCCCCCTGCTCTCTGCTCTAGGAAGCAGCAAAGGCCATGCCCTAAGACCGTGGCTTCTGCCACCTGGTTCAGTGTGGACGGTCCTAGCCAGGAGTGCCGGTGGTCAAGCCAGATTTGGGCAGCACTGTGCCTACCACAGCCCTGTGAATCTACCAGTCAGCGGGTCCCTGCCTGCCCCCCAGGAACCAGCCTTGGTACTGCCAGCCCCTGCTCAGCCCCCCTGGACTGTCCCTTGGGTTTGAGAGACTGTCTTCTGGATGCTAAGCTCCCAAATCATGTTTGCACGAGAGAACCCAGAGAATTTCAGCAAAGAAAGTGCGGCGTGGCTTCCTCATGGGTCTCTCACAGACCTGAACGCAGAAGCAGTCAGGAGGCTTCTGGCTGTGCTTGCAGACCAGCCCTGCTAGGGCCATCCATCCTCCAGCTACTTTGCGGTGCCAGGGGAAATCAGCGCTGGGGACTCGTATGGGTCTACAGCCCAGGAGGGACTCCCCCAGCTGATGACCCTGGCGGGAGGCAGGGGTGTGGGCAGCTGGACACAGTGTGCTTCTGAGAGATCCTCATCCAGGGGCTCTGAGAGCACAGGGCGGAGCTCGGGAGGAGGGCGGCATGGAGGATTTCCCTCCCCGAGGAGGGGAAAGGCTGCCGCCGAGTGGCTGTCTGGCTGGCTAGCAGGAATTACGGGGATGGGCTGTGGCTGGTGGAGTGCACAGTGTGGCCCACTGCAGCAGTCAGGGCAGCAGCCCCATGGAGGGCACTCACTCAGTCTCTGACCTTGGACCCGAGGCCCCGGAGCCTGTTTGGGACCAGGGACTAGGGGCAGCCTCCCACCTTGGGGCGGACCCAGGATGGAGCGTGGAGGGAGGTGTCTATGACCCTGTTGGGAGTGAGAGTGGGTGCTGAGCTGAGCCTAGGACCCCTGCCAGGGAGGGCCAGAAAGAGCAGGGCATTCAGGACGATGCATTCGGTCGGCAAGGTTGATGAAAGATGCTGGGCAGCTTGGTGAGGACTGGGGCCTGGCGCTGTCGCTGAGGCCGGGGCCACGCTTCTCTGGACGCCAGTTGTTCTTTCTCCCCTTTCCTTCTCAGCCCACCTGTCAGTGGTCTGGGCTTCTCCGGTAGAGCTTACGTGTGTGTCCCACTGTCCCCATGTCTCCTTGTATCTCTCTGGCTCTCTGACTCTTTCCATCTCGCTTTTTCTGATCTGTGTCCTTTCTTCTTTCTCTGTTCAAGTTTCATCTTGAACTTATACAAAGTTTTTATGCTGCATGATGGTCAGAGCGATGGTCACCAGGGGAAGACCCCCAAGGGAGGACCCAGGAGAGATGTCTGTGTGTGAGGTGGGCAGGGGAGAGGCTGTCCCTTAGTGGGCCTGGCCTCACGCACTTGCGCCTGCCCTGCCCCGTCCCCTGTCTTCTGCCCAGTAAACGCAGTGCAGAGCAGACTGGTGTCAGAAAGGCCCCAGCGTGAGCACACAGCACACACAGCTCTGTGTTCCTGGTATCAGGCCGGAAGTCGGTTCCATTTGGTGGTTTTAGCAGCCCAGCCCTACCATGTGTGAAACACAGGGCTTTGTCCCATCCCTGGAAATGTTTACAACGTGACTGGAGCAGCAGGATTAAGGTGAAGAATTAATGTAAAGAGACAATGAAGCTCAATGGGGGCTTCAAAGAACTGACGAAACCAGGGTCATATTGTGTTGCGAGGTGTGGGTGAGTGGATGGGCCCCACGTGGGCCCATCAATGACAGAAGTCACCAGATTTCCAAGAAAACTTGTGATTAGAGCAAGGCTGTGTATTTTTGCTTCAGAATCCTCCAGCTTTTTCACCACCAAGTGAGGCCACCAGAAAAACCCTAAACTCCATTACGATGGTCCCTTCCCCACCAATGCACTCAGAGTGAAGATGTCCTCTGTGGAGTGTCAACCCGACCCCTGGGCAGCACTGAACATGGTCAACAGACGTGGCTGTGTGACATCTTGCTGCTTTGGTGAGCAAGTGCTCCAGTCACCATTGACCTCCAGGAGGTCAGGACTCAAGAGGCGGACCTCTCCTGGAGCTAAGCTGGGGGACATGTCATCCCTCTCAATGAAGTCACTTGTTCTCTTTTAGGAGAAACAGGGATGTTTTTGCTGCTTCTGCCTTTGCCTGGAAGCTTGAACCCGAGATTCAGGTTTGGGCCTCACCGTCTACCTGCCCCTGCCTCAGCCCTCCAGCCCTTGGCCTTGATGGTTTTTGCATCATTCTATTAGTTAGCCGCCTGGGATTTGAGTTTGCAGGGCGTCACGGGGCTCTGGGTACGGGTGGCAGGGCTGCCACTTTCCACTTCTCTTGACCCTTGGACGCATCATCAAGTCCTCAATGCCCGTGTTCCTCACTCATCGAACGGCAGTGATGACTATGCCTGTCTCACAGAGCTGTTGCTGTCAGTATTAAATGTATTAATGCAAGTTCTGCCCCCTCAGAGTAAGTGGCCAGTTAATGTACACTTCCCTCTCCAAAGCCCATGGCTCTGCCTTAGCTTTTCTAGGGCCCATCTTCAGGGATCAAGGTCCAGCTTGTGAGCCACGACTCCTGTCTTAAGCTTTCCAGCCCAGGCTAGAAGACTGAGACGCCCCTTGCAGCATGCTCTATTACCATCGTCCAGTCATTCGCCAAATGTCTATTAACACGTGCCACATCTTTTTTATCCATTCATCTGTCGATGGACATTTAGGTTGGTTCCATGTTCTAGAGGGGTGGGATAGGGAGGGTGGGAGGGAGGCTCAAGAGGGAGGGGATATGGGGTATATGTATGCATAGGGCTGATTCACTTTGCTGTACAGCAGAAACTAACATAGTATCGTGAAGCAATTATACTCCAGTAAAGAACTATCTTAAAAAATGTCTATTAATACCTCCTGTGTGCCAGGCACTGTGTCAAGTGCTGGAGGTAGAACATGCCACAGGGCACTATACAGCTCCGTGGGGAGACCAGCCAGGAGACGCATCAGTGGGCTAACAGCTGAGAAGCTCTGAGGACAGTGCCTGGCACACAGAAGTGCCCTGTAATGTTCTTAAATAAATGGTGTGGTCACTTACGATGGGTAAGTATAGCCGCTGTGGAGCACCCAGAGGGGCAGCTAAGCCAGGTGTGGGGCGTCAGGAGGAAGTGACACAGAACTAAGGTGAGATGGAGGATAAGAGGGGAGAAGACGGGGCTGGGCAGAGGGCGTGGCCCAAGGGCAGCCGGAACCGCCTGAGTGGGGAGCTGGAATCAGTGCAATCTGGCTGCAGTGAGAGGGTTCCTGGCAATGAGGAGGAGCTGGAAGAGGCAGGCAGCTCGGGGCTTTGTGACCACCTAGAGGGGTGGCCTAGGGAGGGTGGGACGGAGGGAGACGCAAGAGGAAGAGATGTGGGGATAGATATATACATATAGCTGATTCACTTTGTTATAAAGCAGAAACTAACACACCATTGTAAAGCAATTATACTCCAATAAAGATGTTAAAAAAAAAAAAAAGAGGCAGGCAGGGGTCACAGTGTGGGTCTTAGAAACCGTGTTAAAGAGCTGCTTTCACTTTAACTGCACCTCAAAAAAATTGTTAACCTAAAAAAAAAGTCACTTGTAAAACGAGTGAAATAAAAAGCAGTCTTCTAATAGGACAAAAAGAAGGATCGGGTTTAACTGAACTCAGCGGAACCTCACTCCTGGTTTTGCAGGGGACTCTAATGTCCCAGCAAGGCTCCCAGACACTCCATGGCGACCAGATGCCAATTCTGTGCTCCTCAGGGTGGTATCCCAGGGGGAGGGCTTCCTGTGCTAGGCTTTCCCAGACCTGCGGGCTTGGGTTGTTGGGGGCAGGGGTTGCACCCATACCTCTCTGGCCTGATCTTGGCCAGAAGTTCTGTTCTAACCAGACTATGGGTTTTCTGTCTTCACAGATGTTGGAGCAGCTCAAGTGTTAGCAACGGGCCAGCCTGCTGGGGCCGAAATTGGTAGGTGGCTGCCCAGCTGATTCTGGGTGCAGGGTGGAGGGGCAGGAGGAGGTACCCTGAAAGGCCCGGGCAGGTGGGGTGTCCTGGTAGGGTTTCCTGCCGGTCGTCATGGAACTGGGGCAGTGTTCACCCCCAAGCCTGCCTGAGTGGCTAACACAGCTTCATCCCGGGGGTGTGGTGCTGCAGGAGAGCCTGTCCTCGAAGGGGACGTGAGTCGTCAGGGTCACCTCCATCCACTCTCGGTGGCTGCGGCCACGAGCCCGGGACAGCAGGTGGCTTCCGTGGCCTGGCCGGTGTCTCTCTGCACACGCATGGTCCCAGCCTCTCTCCACCTCAGGGCCCCGCTCACCAGGCACAGTGCCGCTTGCATGTCACCTCCTCTGGAAAGGCTCTCGGCTCCCAAACTGGCCCGCCCCAGTCTCCTGGCATTCATGTGAGCTCTCGTCTTCCGCTGCTGACCACAGGCTCTTCAAGGTGGTGTCAGGGACTCATTCATTTGCCTTCAGCGCTCAGCAGAGCAGACAATCAGCACATACTCCACAAGTGAACTGATGAAAGAATAAGTGAGGAAGGCTACAGGAGGCCAGAGAAACGAGCCATCAGCCACTTGGGAATGATTTCCACAGCTGAAGGGACCATGGATGGAGTTCCAGGAAGAGGAGTTGGGGTGTGGGTGGAGGTTGAGGGAGGGGATGTGCTCCCAGGAGAGTGGAAAATCAGGCCGGCCTCAGTGAATTGGACTGTGGAACGTTAAGGACCAAGTGAATGACTTTGAACTTCATCCTGATGTAAAGGGAGCTGTGAAAGACCTTTGCCGTGTGTGTGGTGACTGATTGAAGCTCCTTGTTCAATTCCTCCCTGCCCTTCAGATATCAAATAACGCCATCATTGGGATTGCTGTGGGCTTCACCACATCGGCCAGCTTCCTGGCCCTGAAGATCTGCATGATCAGGAAGCACTTGTTTGATAATGACTCCTCCGAACAGAGAAGCACTAACGTGGGCTTCAATGGTAAGGAAATGATGCTCAGCCCCATCTCTGCCTTTGCCTGAGAGAAGACGTGACCTGGCCAGTCACCTGGCGTGAGGTTCTGAGGGCAACACTGGCTGGAGAGAGAATAAAAAACATGGGTTGAAAAGAAATGCAGCGACCTCTCTGTGTCTCTGTCTCTGTCTGTCTCTCTCTGCTTCTCTCTCTCTCTCTGTACTTTTCCATTTAGTCATTCTTGAGATTCCTAAGAATCAGCTTTCGTGCAGTAAAGGTGGGAAAGGGGGCTGACTGGCTTCAGACAGTAATTTCTGTTCTCTTACTCGATCACATAGTGCGATCACATAGTGCGATCAGATGAGACCGATCCCGGGAGGTGATGAGGCTGCTGCTGGCATGGGTGGGTGGTGGGAAGTGTGGCTGGCCCTGCCTACCTGGGCCAAGTTGCACTTTTTTTCATAAATTGGGCAAGTCCTGCACTGAGGAGCGCTGAGCGTATCCTCATGAGCCAAACAGAGCTGGGCTTACGTGAACGCAGCGTGGCTCCCCACAGGCCGTGGCAGAGGTGCATCCCATGCAGATGTTTTGACAGCAAAATGTAACATTGATTCGCACCCCTTTTCTCTCAGGGTGGGACCTGCAAACTCCATTCCCCGTAGAAGACTGCTTGATGGGATGGTGATGCGGTTTTTCAGAGGATGAGGAGGAAGGACCCTCACCATGTATCTGGAAAATATGATTATTACCTGTGAAGATGTGCAGAGGGGGGCAGAGGGAGGAGGAGGCAGCACTCAGGAGATTCCAGCGTGTCCAACTGCACAAGAAACTTCGTTGGTCATAGGACTTCACTTGCCGTTGATTTTGTATCACTAGGAATATGAGGGGAGATAAAAGGCTCTTCCTCACACAGCAGGAGATGTTCTAGATCTCCTAAGGGCAAGAGGGCCCAGGATCTGCAAGGAGGGGGGAGGAGAGAAGCCACTGGTGGGGGTGGGTGGGCGGTGTCTCTGGGGAAGCCTCAGTTTTACCCGTGTGCTGAGCTAGAGGGCTCAGTGAGGGACCAGATGGAGAGGCTACGACCGTGCCAAAGGGGAGGGGCAGAGCACTCAGCCCAAGACCACCTCCCCTCCAGTGACCCCAACCCAGGGAGCCTCTCAGCAGTGCCCAAGTCAGGTGGCTCCGACCCCTCCTGCTGGCCTGGCACTGAGTGAGCCGCATCACCATCGCAGGGCCCCCTTCCTAATGCCCTGCTTTCTCTGTTTAGACAGCATCGAGCTAAAGAAGAGAACTCCAAGGTAAGGTCGCTGCCAACTTGTGACTGGTATTTTCCCTCCTGTTTTATCCATCCTGCTCCATCGCCTGACATCTTAGCTCCTTTCTCCAGTTTGAAACTCTTCCTAGGGATCTAAGATGCACCACACAGCCCCCTCTTCTCGATCTCCCCTCCTTTGGGCAGTGGGCAGGTGTCATCTGAGTGGGGAGCCCACAGGGTATGGTAGCCAAAGGGAGCTTGGGCTCCCTTCTCCACACTGTGGGTTAGATTTTGCCCTACCTCTTGCTCAGAGTCATCCCAGTGTATCCCCCGCTCTCAGGATCATGTCCCGAGCTCCTGCCATGTCCCAGTTGGGAAACCACATGTGTTCTGCCCCCAGCTACCTGGCTTCCCTGCTACCACCCAGCCACATTACTCTTCTGCATAGAGCCTATGTGCTCCAAGGACAATCCTACCTCAGGACCTTTGCACTTGCTCTTTTGTATCATATGGAGTACTCTGCACCCAGAGAGCTGCAAGCTACTGCAAAGGCCTCTGGAGCAAGGATCTGAGTGATACCAATGAGGCAGCCAGCCCTGGGGGCTGAGTGAAGGTGCAGGTAAATCCAGAACAGCCGGCGTTTGTCGGGGTGGGGAGGTCCTAGCTGGGGGATGCCCTCTGGGAAGTAGGTGGTAGAGCAGGTGTGGGCAGTGGGCTGGGGGTGTGTGTCTTGGTGACTACCTTTTTTGAACATGGTAAGTCTGAGGCTTCTGGAGACTTCCAAGTAGAGGAGGTGTTCAGTGAGTGTCTGGCATTCAGGACAGATGTCTGGGCTGAGACAGGGTGGTGGGCTTTTAGAGGGATGCAAAGCACGATCTCCCCCTCCAGTGCTTCCCTGGGACCTGGGGCTTGGTAAGTACAAAGTAGCATCTCTTGAAGAAATGGGTGGATCTGTGGATGGAGAAGAGATGGATGTGTGGTATGCGGCCGTCAGGGGGATGCCCTATGGATGAGCTGGAAATGGATTTTTTCAAGACTTTCACTTTCTGAAGGATCTGCCCTCCTTCAGACTTTCCAGTTTCTGGCACTGATTTCTGAGCGTGACGCCCTAAAGCATGTTTCATCAGCTCTATCTCCAAGCATTGCCTCTCTCTGTTTCTGATGCTCATTGTTTCTCTGTCTCTTTCTGTCCCGTCTCCAGTCTTCCCCCTCTACTGTCTGTTTGGCCACCCCACAGGGGCCTGGACTGGGGGCAACAGGTGTGATTAGGGTGACCATTTATCTCATCATCAAATCAGGACTTTTTGAGAGTGGAGAAGAGACATTACTGTACTAATAATAGTGTCAGGATGATAGGCGTAAACCCACGTTGTCCTAGGAAAATCAGCAAGTGGTTGTCCTAGGTTTGGGAGGCCTGGGAGGCATGGTCTCCAGGTCCTGGGGTGGCCACACAGCTGTCCTCTCACTGGCAGTGTTACCTCCTCTTGCACCCAGGGTTCTCACAGAGGGGTTAGGTACCCAGCTCCGGGGGATCTTGGAAATGTGTGGTGGAATTGGGGGCTTTTGGGGCTGGGGTAACCACAGATGCCATGTGTCCCATCTCATACGCACACATTCACACACACACCCAGACCCACACTGGCTAAGTTGTCCCATTTCTCTCTTTCCAGAAGAAACACGCTGAGCGGCTCCCAACTGTCACCAAATCCATGACCCACTCAGGCAGGAAAGTAGAATTCCAAGTCAGCCAATGCCCCTCCCTTGCCCCGCCCTAAGGGCCCTTCTCCCTGGGCAGCTCTACCTTCTTCCAGCCCTTGGGGGATTGGTGTAACGACAGGTTCCCCTGAGCGTGCAGCTGCCACCACTCGCCAGGAGGGCATCCTCGTTCCAGCTCACCCAGGGCAGCACTCGGACTGCTCTCCCACTATAGAATCAGGGCAGACCGGCCTTTACCAGGGGTTCTAACAGGGCTTTGGCAGTCTGGGTCAGGGGAGGCAATAGACTAAGTCTGCAAGGATGAGGAGGATTAGCTCTTGATGGTAGGGGTGAAGGGACCTGGGAATGCATAGATGAGCCCCAGGCTCAGGACCTGCATCACCTTTGGGGGTCTTTGGGGGTCTCTGGAGTGGGGAATGTAGGATAGGGGTCAGTTTGGGATGGATGTGGGCGGAGACTCTGCCCACAGCATGGTCTCAGGGGCCCTCTGCTGGGTGACTGAGGCACCCTGGCGTGCGGCTGCGGGCTACTGTGGCCAGCTCTGGTCCTGTGTCAGAACAATCGAGTGGACAGGCAGAGATTCTGGCAGAGTGATCTCACCACCCACGGTGAGCGATGCTGTCTTGACCCTCCAAGCCACCCACACGCATCAGAGGACACTTTGGGTTAAGGCATCGTGCTTTGGAAGCTCCAGTGCCCCTGATAGTTTCCAGAACTGTTGCAAACCCTGATTCAGGGACATCTTAGTCATGGAATTCACAAAATTGAAAGATTTCACAATGCCTAATGCTTAATCCTGGCCCATGCGTACATGCATATGTGCGTGCTAGTGGAGGCGATTATGTGATGACTCAAAATGAAGGCCTGACACGCACATGTCTGTGTGTGTGAAGATTCTGCTGTGAACAATACAAAGCAAACCAATTCAAAAGCATTGTTGAATGAACAGTCACTGTGCTTTTACGTTCCTACATATGATCGTGTTAGAGAGCAGCTCCGCTCTGTATGTTTGGATGTTCTGAATTATTTTGATACATTGGAGCTGTAGGAGATTTCCACAGTCTAGGCAAGGTGGCTGCCGTAGTCATTCAACAGTAAGCACTGCAAGAGTGAAGTACAGGAAAGGGAACGTGAAGGGTGCAGGGGGAAGGCAGGGTGAGGAGGAAGGGAAGGAACGGATGAAGGATGGGGAGAGGCGGGTGGCTGGGAGTTAATGGCTGGACGGGAGTCCCACCCCCATCTATTCCCCCACCATGTGCAGCGGACCGTTCTCAGCATGTATCACATCAGAGCTTCTCTGCACAGAAGGGAGCACAATTCAAGTTTCCAAAACTGACACTAGATGGAGTCAGGCTGAGTCGGGCAGAAGTTAGACCCGAAAGAAAAAGCAAAGGACAAGCAAGCCCTTCTCCTGTAGCAGAACTTTGCCGGTGCTTTCCGTCACCTAGGAATAATTTAGTGAACATGCTGCCCTTCTGTTTTGCATGTTAAACCTCGACTTCTCTGAAAGGTGAGTTGTAAGAGTGATGGACCGCTCTTACTGAAAGGAGGAAAGGCAGTCCCTCTCTTGTCCTGTGCTGGCTGGTGGCTCTCCTGCACGCCCCCCACAGGACGGGAGGGGGATTGCTAGCCATGGGCCAGAAGTCCTGTTGCCAGGGTGGCTGTGAGACCAGGAATCAGCGTCTCTTTGGGACAGCTAATATGGGGGTATTTTGGCAAGATTTTAAATGAAGCTGCGGGCTGTTTGCCTGATTAGATCTGAGAAAAGTGGGTTTTAACAGCAAGATAAATTTTATCTTATTTGATTTGATTTTCCAAGACCTTCTCTTTGACAGAGGCCAATCAACCGTTAGCCAGCTCAGTCCATTTGAAGACAAAAAAATTCCAAAACTTTTCTTTGTGTCATCAAGCTATCAGTTTGGCAGAAGTGTCTGCCTTTCAATGCAGCTGTGGGGTCTCAGAGTGGACAAGCCTGAGTGTGCAGGGCAGCCTTCATGAAGGGGAACAGGATCCTAGGCTGCTGGCTGAAGGAGCCCTGCCCCCAGGAAAGGAGGCACCTCCTCCAGGTTTATCTGAATGGTTGGTTCACAACTCACTTCCCCTAGTCCTGTTTTCCTGCACCTCATCACCACCCATGTGCTCTCACAGTCCTTCTTTCTGAAAAATCTTCAAAGCCACAGAAGAGTTGAAAGAAGAGTGCAATAAAAACATCTCACCTTTCACCTAGATCCATAAATTAACATTTTGCCCTACTTGCTTTATCTCTGTGTACATAACTGTTTTCTGATTCATTTAAATACTAATATAAATATCATGATATTTCACCCTTAAATACACCATGTATCTCCCACATAATCACAGTACAACAACATGAACAGTAAGAAATGAATGGAAATGGGTGGTAATTTGATAGCATCATCTATTACACAGCCTGTATTCAAATGTTTCCCAAGTATCTCTTATATTTCTATTTTTCCAAGCCAGGAGCCACTGTATTGGATTTTGTCCCTTTTTAGTCTCTCTCTCGATGTTGCCTTCTCTCTGCATGGCACTGTCAGTTTTGAAGTACGTAAGCCATTCGTCTTTCATGATGTCCCATTTTCTGGATTTATCTGACCGTTTCCTCTTGAGCAGATGCAAATTGAGAATTTTGTCAGGATTGCCTCAGAGGTAACGTTGCGTGTGTATCTTTCAGTGCAGTGCACCAGGAGGCACATGACCCCGGTCTCTCTCAAGGTTGGTGTCGCTGCTTTTGATCACTTGGTTAAGGAAGCAACAGCTAGATCTCTGCACTGTAGAGAGAAAGCCCTGCCTTTGTAATTAGTAAATAATAGAAGGGGTGGGACTTTGAGATGGTGGGAACACCCTGACCCCAATAATTCTTCACCCAGTGATTTTTCTTTTTTTTTTTTTTTTTTTTTGCGGTACGCGGGCCTCTCACTGTTGTGGCCTCTCCCGTTGCGGAGCACAGGCTCCGGACGCGCAGGCTCAGCGGCCATGGCTCACGGGCCTAGTCGCTCCGCGGCATGTGGGATCTGCCTGGACCGGGGCATGAACCCGTGTCCCCTGCATCGGCAGGCAGACTCTCAACCACTGCGCCACCAGGGAAGCCCCATCCAATGATTTTATATTTGTTCATAATCCATGTTTGAATCAGTTATTGCATTGGGGGTTACAAAGTACTGAGTTTCTAGTTCCAGAATTCCTTCTACATTTAATAGCTGCATTCTTCTAGAAAAAGACTGTCCTCTTCCCCTTTTCTCTTTCTCTTTCTTTTTGAACATTATTCCTATGGACTTCAATGCACTATAATTCATCACCATCATGAATCTTTTTCATGCTCAAATTGTCACAAGTTATCAGTACAAGTCACTTCTTGGTGGGTTTAGACAGGACCCCAGTAGTCATTGAGCATTTCCTAGACTTCTGACACAACACAGTGTCCCAGGCTCACCTTGTACTGTTCCTGCTCAGACCTGGAATCACCCATTTCCCCTCGACCCATGTTTTTCTCCTTCTCCTCCTCCTCCTCTTTCTTTTTGATGTGGAATAGTTTTTGGAAACCAAGATCTGGGCACAATGTGTGCTCATGGCTGTTGAAGCACCATCGCTTGTAGGCCCTCTCAATGGACAGTCAGCAAATGTATATTTAAATCAAAAACTCAATACCATAAGGTTCTTCTTGAGATTTCCTCATTCCATATTTCTATTTTACCTCCTCTAAAGTGAAAATCTTGTTCCCCAACCATATAAATATTTTTACCCATTTGCTCTACCCTATAATACACACAAAATATGTACTTCCAGAATTACAACACTGTACAACTATAAATTCGCTTCAAAATTTCTTTGCAGGGGCTTCCCTGATAGCACAGTGGTTAAGAATCCACCTGCCAATGCAGGGGACACGGGTTCGAGCCCTGGTCTGGGAAGATCCCACATGCCGTGGAGCAACTAAGCTCGTGAGCCACAACTACTGAGCCTGCGCTCTAGAGCTCGAGAGCCACAACTGCTGAGCCCGTGTGCCACAACTACTGAAGCCCGTATGCCTAGAGTCCATGCTCCACAACTAGAGAAGCCACTGCAATGAGAAGCCCAAGCACCTCAACAAAGAGTAGCCCCCTGCTTGCTGCAACTAGACAAAGCCTGCGTGCAGCAACGAAGACCCAACGCAGCCAAAAATAAATAAACAAATAAATTTATTAAAAAAAGAAAGAAATATGCAGGAAGGGCAAATGTCTAGATACAGAAAGGTAAGTGGTTTCCTGGGGCTATATGTAAGAAGTGGATTGAAATCGAATGGACATGAGGGAATTTTTTGAGGTAACAGAAGTGTTCTAAAACAGGATTATGGGGATGGTTGTACAACTCTATAAACTGCGGAAAATCACTGAATTATAAATTTACAATGGATTAATTTATGGAATGTAAATTATGCCTCAATAAAGTTTTGAAAAACAAAAACAAAAGAAAGAATCTGCCTGCCAGTGCAGGGGACACGGATTTGATCCCTGGTCCAGGAAGATCCCACATGCCGCGGAGCAACCAAGCCCATGCACCACAACTACTAAGCCTGCACTCTAGAGCCCGTGAGCCACAACTACTGAAGCCTGTGCGCCTAGAGCCCATGCTCTGCAACAAGAGCAGCCACTGCAGTAAGAAGCCCATGCGCCGCAAGGAAGAGTAGCCCCCTCTCACCACAACTAGAGAAAGCCTGCACACAGCAACGAAGACCCAAAGCAGCCAAAAATAAATAAATAAATTAAAAAAAAAAATTCTTTGCAGTTCTTTGTTCTTAAAATTTAGTCCTCCATGTGTACAGAGTATTGTGTTCAAAAAGAATTAACTATTTTCTCAATGTGGTTTCGCTATCAATTTGATACAGTGTTAGAGACATTTGTTTCAGTGTATATGCTGGTTTTAGTTTCCTATCTTAATCCTTTTAGTTTAATTTTATTTTTTGAGTATGTGAAACATGCGTATGGTTCAAAACTAAAAACATGTAAACAGGTAAACTCAGAGACGTCTTGCTCTCATCCTGTCCACTCCACCCTGTTCCCACCCACTGCTTTGAGGTAATCAATCTCAATAGTTCCCATTTTATTCCTCCTGTGTTCCTTTTACAAAAATGTATTTAATTAAAATTTTTTTACATATGTACAATGTTTATAAAATTAGATAAATGTTTATACATGTACATATATGTATGTATATATAAATATATATTATTCTGGTTCTTATATGGGTTTATTTTTATTTGGATCTCTGATTCATTTGGTATAGTATGTGGTATGAGATATAGTTCCAATTTTATCTTTTTCCCAAATAAAAATCCAGTTATTTCAATATCATTTTTCAAAACCACCCTATTTTCCCCAGTGTTTTACTTGCCACCTTTATAATGTTCTATGTTTCCGCATATGTTTGGATACTTCTAGACTTCATGGTATTCTCCAATGGTATTTGTGGTTATTCATGTGCTTTTACCACACTCTTTCTTTTGGTGGCTTCATGTATGCTCTATTACTTGGCGGGGCTGGTTCCTGCACACCCTGCTTTTCTGTTTTAGCTATTCCTGTGCATTTGTTTTTCCATATAAACTTTACAGTCAACTTCAGAATCTAGCTACAGAAGCAAACATCTTGGTATTTTTATTGGAGTTGCATTATGTTCACATATTAAATTGAAGACAATTGACTTCTTTATGATATTATCCTTCACTGACAAGAAATATATTTTTTACAAGTCTGTTTTTTTGCTTGTCTCAGGAGAGTTTTCAGATTTTACTCTTATGGATTTTTCACATTTCTTGTTAAGTTTACTTCTAAATATTTTATGTTTTTGTTGCTTTTGTAAATGGAATTTCCCATTATGTCTCCTACTTGTTCATTGATTGCTTATGGATTTTATTTTTTTTGGTGTGTTAACATGACAGCAGCTACCTTATTGAATGCTTTTATTGTTTTGTTCATTTTCTTCTTGATCTCCTTGAGTTTTCATCATATTATGTCATCTGCAAAATTGTAGATCTTCTCTCCCAATTCTTAAGCCTCTAATTGTTTTCTCTTCTCTGATTGCATTGGCTAAAACCACCAATGTTAAATAATAGTGGAAACAGTGAGTATACTTGTCTTGTGCCTGATCTTGGTGGAAAATCCTCTAGTGGTTTTCATTAAGTAAAGTGTTAGCTTTAGGGCAAAAGTACACATGTTTTATCATGTTACGGGAACACCCATCAATTCCGATTTTACTGAGTTTTTCAGAAATGTGTGTGGGATTTGGTCAAAAGGCTTTTCAGCATTAGCAGGCATTAACTTATCCTCAGCATTTATACCCTGGGATAGTTCCAGGCAAACCAGGACATATAGGCACCTTGTTACTAGTTTAGTTTTTTCCTTTTGTCCTTTTTGGTCTGCATGATTTTTGGAGGATGTGGTGGAAGATTTGTGTTTAGGCCGCCACTATGATCTTAGAGTCTCTAAAAGTCTCTTTCTCTTCCTCCTGATGCCCAGTCCATGTCTGCAGCCTGATTCACTTACTAGTCCAGCCAGCAGATGCTATCCCAGGCTCTGCCCAGCTTATCTTTTCCTGCAGGTTATGTCTGGATCTCTAGGGGCTGGTGGCACACCTGTTTGTAGAGGAATCCCTTTCTTGTCAGAGAAGAGTTCCTCAATGTGGTAACTCACGGTTGCCACTTCCCCAGCTCAGGGACATTGGGGGTGGGAGGAGACTGCTCTCCTGGTCTGCCCATCTTCTCTGGGCATCGGTATCTCAAGTGCAAATGATGACTAGGTCCAGCCACTTTTGATCCTCTCCTTAGCGACACCTGAAGGGGTCCTTTCAACTCAGGAATTTTTTAAGATAATAAGAGGGATAAACTTTCTGTTAAGCCCCTGGACCTCTAGACCAGACAAGTCAAACTCTTTGTTCCTCTGGACCCGCCATCCTTTAAAGGAGAAGCACAACAACCTGACAGCATTTGAGGCTTTCTCTTGGAATCCCTTCTTCCTCTTCTCTCTCTCACTATCCTTGCTTGTTTCCAACTTGCTTGTCTTCCATGTAGGCTCTGATGCCATCAAGCTTTGTAACCCTGACCTCGACCTGTGCCCTTGGTCCTCCACACATGGGGTAGTTAGGTATATGCTGTCTTTTTTACGGATGTGGACTTGGCTTGCCCCATTGAGGCTTCATTCTGCCCTGTCTTTCCGCTATTTCTGCCCCTTCTCTCATGGGCAGATGCTAGACTCAAGATATTAGGACTGAATATGCACAATGGAATGGAATAAACAAGTATACAATGTAAGCATAAGTATGTCATGCTGTTATAACTATGGGTAATGTTTATGTGAAACTACAGTGAAGTTTTGGTGGGAATTTGGCCTCAACGTGGAAGTGTGGGTGAGACCCTTAGCCAAGAGTGGCTGCAGCAGGGTCTCTGCCATACTTTCAGCCCAAGCTCTACCATATTGGGGTCTGGTTCAGTGACCATCTTTTCTTCCATGTTCCTAGCTTTTAATATATATCTTTACTGCCATTCCCTCATGCCAAAGCTGATACACTAAGTGTGGAGAAGTCTCACCCTCTGTAAGAGTGTATAGTTCAGACTCGAAGGTATCAGTTTCTAGTTACATTCCCATCGGCCTGTCTACCTTGCAGCACCTGCTCAGGTCATTGCAAACTCTTCGAATACAGAAAGTGGCACTTTCCCCTCGATATGCTTATTAACCTTGGGGAATGACTTCTTCCCTTTTTGTCACCAAAGTGGATGAGGTTTTGTGGCCTTGGTTTGGCAGGCAGAAAACAACCTCTAGGTTGAGCTCTATCTGAAAAACTCTCCCCTTTATCTAGAGCCACTGGTCTTCAGGTCCCTTTCTATGTCACACAAGGAAATGCCCCACCTTGCTAAGATTTGCTGATGAACTCTTTCACACCTGTTTAATTGTGTGGGGTGCATTAGCATATGCCATGATTAGTTAGAGCATAGTCACTCTTGTCAGTAAATCTTCCAGATGGTTCTTTTTCTTTCCAGAAATGCACAAGTGATTGAAAGCAGCCTCTTCAGAAGGGGTTTGGCACTCTGGACAGCTGCCCAAGGTTGCAGTCTTGTAGATAGCTTAAGTTTGAGCAAACAAAGCTGGTGATGGACCTTCACACAGAACTCAAAATCCAGGGCAAATAATAGAACTTAGAGAATCTAAAGTGCCTCTGTCCTGAAGGAAAATATTGCTTCTCTTCTGCAAGAAGCTGACTTCATAGAGGGAAGTATGAGCCCTCTTTCCAGTAGTGAGAAAGTTTGGAAGCCAATAAATGCTCACTGGCTATCCTGGTTCCCCAGTCGGAGCTGGTCATGCTTCAGGATGGCATTGTGTCCATGTCAGTGGATCTTACTGGCAGCAAATGGCTCATGGAATGAGACCCAGCCTCAAGACACAGCCTCTCCAGCACCACCATCTTACCAAGAGGTGAGCAGCATTTTCTAGACAGTAGGCCTCACCTCAGCTGCCAAAAGAAAACCCAAGAAAACCCTTGTCAACATTCAGGGGCCCTGAAACATGGAAACTATGGGGCAGTCTCCACTCCTATAAATGAGAGACAGACCTTCCAAAGGATGAAATGGCAGGCTGGGCTGGAGTGGGAGAAAGGGGTCTGATGGCCGTGGAATGGGCCTGCAGCTCTGTAGCTCTTCAAATGGTGGAGCCAACAAAGGATTAAATGAGAAAGCAGCTGCCATGCCTTGTAGAGAGCTATACAAATGCAAGCAACTATTGTTATGCTTATATAATTATTTTGTGGTGACTGTGACAATGTCCATACTTTATCATGGAGGACACAGCTGGCAGAGGCTTAGGAAACCCACGTCTTTGATTATTGCCGTAAACGTAAGCCTCCGTGGCACAGGCCCCATTCACATTTCTCTCCCCTGTAATGTTAATCCTTTATTTCCAGGCTGCATTAAGGAATACTCTTTGCCTTTTCATTCAACAGAAATCTCGGTGGCTCTATGGACTGGTTCACTCCTTAGATAAGGTTACCCTCCTTGTGTGTGATGAAAGATGAGCTATATTTCAAAACAAAGTGCTGTGTTGTAATAATTTGCCTGGATTCCCAGGGCATCTTTTATCTGACTTGATAACAATGTAGCTCGTTAGCAGACTTGGTAAACTGATAACCTAAAGCGGTAATGTGATATTCATAAGCAATTTTCTGTGTGTAAGATAGAATAAACCATCTTGTAAGGTATCTGTTAATTGATTTGCTTCTTTTAGCAGCATTTTAATTAAGACAGCTGGTTGTGAACTGAAGGGAATGCATCTGGATTCTCAGTAATCGTTTTAATTTCTGTAAACTCAATAGAATGTGGGATCCTCTCCACCATCCCACTTCATGACATATTTTCCCAGCACCACTCCCGGGTTCTGGTTTTGTTTGCGCCCTACACAAGGTCTCCTGTGTGAAGAACACAGAGTAGTATGCTGAAGACCAGTGCTTTCTCCTTGGCTTATAAAGGCAGACATGCACTGGGAGCAGCTCCTGGGGATAAAGGTGCCAATGGGCAGGAGCCCTCGGACATGTTTTTGAAGCAACTGCAAGAAGTCATTGTGTCTGTAGGTGCGATGTCTTGAGCGAGGGCCGTTCCTCCTGCCCCACCCTGTGGTTTGGGAGGATGCTAGCAGAGGCCTTCCCAGCCCAGGGGCCCCCAGAACACATGCAGATCCCAGACAGCCCATCTCAGCGGGCAGAACATCCTGCCCAAAGGGGAAGGGACGGATGGTACTCAAATACCAGGAGAAAGAGTTAGCCCTACACAGGGGGAGTGAGCCACAGATGGCAGCAGCCAGCCAGGATCTAAAGGCATGGCTGTGGTTTGCTGCCTCCAGGGCTCAGTACCTGGAGGAGAAGGTAAGATGGGATCGGGTTATCTGGCAAGATCAACAAATTACACATATTATCAATCTCTATGTCTTTAAGTTAAAAATATATTTGACATGGAATCTATAAATCAACACATAAAAATTAAATAAATATGTGTATATACTCTTCTATTTGTGTTAAAAGTATACATACTGTGGAATTCTAATATATTCCATCATAGACTATATGGGGGTTTGAATAAGTAGATGGATAACAGCTCTTTTTATCTTCCAGGTTTGGAAATAGCTGAGAGGCAGACAAACAACTTAGGCAGATGGAGATGAAAGTATCAGTTATTCTGATTTTTGAATGAGTCATGACATGTCAATATCACTCTGCAGGCCCTAGAGTCCAGATTGGTCCTTGCCCCAGTCCAAGCAAGAGGTGAGCATGGCTGGGGTTGGAGTGCCGGCAGCAAAGATGCAGAGGATGGATGGGTTTGGGATGGGGTTTAGAGGTGGAGATGCCAGGGCTTGCTGACATAGATTTGGGGGTGAGGGAAAGAGTGACTCAGCCTCAGTCCTAGGGTTTGGTGCCATTTATGAGGATGTGAAAGACCCGGAGAGTGCTAGTCTTGGGAAGGGTCTGCAGCTGATCTCAGGTCTCTTGAATCAGCTCTTAGGGAGCCAAAGGATGGGCTGCACTTGGAGAGAGAGCGAACCCCGCGTTCCTACAGGAGTTCAAGCTTGTGAACTGGGGTTAAAAACACACATGTCGGAGATTGTTCTAGAATGTGCTCTGAGATCCATGAAAAAAGCAGGGGAGAATCGGCCTGGAGGAGCCATAAGGCTCTTTTACGGTGAGATGGAGTGTGCAGAGGGGTTGCTTAGGCAGAGGGAAGCTGAGCTGAGCTGAAGATGCAAGCAAAGCGGGTGGTGCCTGTGACATGAAGCCTAGAAGGGCCAGGGCCAGGCTGCGCTCGGGGCTCCTCCCACTGACTGATTCTTTCTCTTCCGAGTCATTTGTCATAATCCCAGACTTGTCAGATAAATTAAGCATCCTTCAAAGAATATGATTTTTCACGTGGACATTATCATTGGATGACAAAGAAGTCTCCCAGGCTGTGTATGCAGACTGCGGCGATGTCATTCAGGCCTTGACGTGAGGAGTTTATGAGTCACGGAGGAAGGCAGAGCATTCTGGAACCTGGTGTGCCAATACCCAGGAGTATAAAAGACCACGGCAAAGCTAAGAAAGGGCAAAACAATCACCGTGCCCAGGCTTAGGCTGCGTGGGAGGAGGGTCAGGAAGTCTGTGATACACGGTGTCCTGCCATTCGGTTGTCTGGATTTGTGAAGTCTGTTTTCTCTTTCATGAAAGTAGTTGCAGAAAGACGGTAAGCGATTATGTGAAATAGAAGTTCAGAGTCATGAAGGAAAGATCCAGAAGTCCTACTCATTTACGAGATGTTCTGGAAGGGAAGAGCAAACAGAACAAAAACAGGGACATATCAAAAGAGAGAGAATAAAATTGACCAAAGTTGCAGAAAGATACTAGAACACAGCTTAAAAGGAAGAATGCAGCGAGACAAATGCAAAACCAACTATATACAGCAAAATCAAAGTAAAATTTGAGAGTACCAAGAACAAAGAAAAGCAAATGACCTATGAAAAATGGGACTTTGACCAAAATTAGACTTCTCATTGGCAGAACTGAATGAAAGAAGATAAAGAAGCAATATTTTCAAAATTCTCAGGGGATATGATTATGCACCATAGTATTCTCTTCCCAAACAAACTATCATTCAAGTGAAAAGGAAAAAAAAACTCAAAAACTCAGAAAATTTACTACCCCAAAATTCTTTCTGAAAAAAATGACTGGAAGATGAACTTCAGCAAAATGAAAAATGAATTTAAGAGGAATGTGTGAGATAAAAGAAGTAGCAGTGAGTAAAGAAACCGGTAAAATTTATATATAAATTTAAATAAGTCAGGATTATTTTAAAAATTACTATACATTGCCATTCGTGTACATTGAAATCCCACACGATCTCAATATGGGAGGTTGTATGGGAGACAGATATAAAAGCATTATATTGTTCAGGGACATAATATATCAATAGAATATTGATTAATTCTCAGCAATGATAGAAAAGTATAGTACTGAATTTGTGTAATGTAAATTCAGGAAGAGCTCCTAGAATAAAAAACATGGTGGGGGGCTTCCCTGGTGGTGCAGTTGTTGAGAGTCCGCCTGCCGATGCAGGGGACACAGGTTCGTGCCCCGGTCCGGGAAGATCCCACATGCCGCGGAGCGGCTAGGCCCGTGAGCCATGGCTGCTGGGCCTGTGCGTCCAGAGCCTGTGCTCCGCAACGGGAGAGGCCACAACAGTGAGAGGTCCGCATACCGCAAAAAAAGAAAAAAAGGTGGGATGGAAAACGTCAAAGCAATTACAAGCATTTAGGGGAAAAGAAAAAGGAGAAAGAGAGGAAGAATTTGGAGGAGGAGGAGGAGGAGGGGAAGAGGAAGAATGAAAATTCTTGTGTATATTCTTTTGGCACAGACATGAGAATTTCTCTAGGGCAGATACAATTTTTATTCCTAAAAATGTAGCGTACGTGTGGCATGGCCAGTGTGAGATGATCTGAGCGGCAGTACTGTGTATAATGGTATCATCCCTTAGTATTTTGGGGAGCCTGGTCTCCAAGGCTGCTGGACCCAGATATCGCAATGGAAGCACATCCCTCTCTGACCTCTGTCCTCGTTTGCACCTCAGACTTGGCTCCAATGCCAGACTGCCCTGGGAGAGAGTAAGAGAAATAAATGCTGTTTCTGCCAGCCTGAGAGGGTGGCCTCCAGTGGCCTTGGCCAAGAGAGTCCTCGGGTAGGGGAGCAGACAGAATGAACTGTGAAACCA